AGTGGCAACCCATTCCATGACTTGTTGAAAAGTGGACTGACCTCCTTTCCATAGACGCTGAGACGATGAACGACGAGGCAGCCGAGGCTATGAAGGTCGAGACCGACGGGGCATTTACTCTGCCCATGTCTAATCTCTTCATTTATCTAGCCCTCGTGGCGACTAGCCACAATATCGCGTCTACCACCGATGAAATCATGAGCTCCATAAGTAATCTAATACCCAAGGCGGCCGGGAACAAGAGAGTACTGGAAGCTTCTCAGGAGGTAGCACGAGCTGCTGGCGGCGAACTTCACAACATATCCGCACTGACTGGAGGAATGGTTGCGCAAGAAATCATCAAAATCATCACGAAGCAGTACATCCCAATTGAAAATACCTGCATATTCGACGGCATCAGTAGCCGGTGCCAGGTACTTCGGCTATAGTAGGTGGACCCCGGGAAGGTGACAGCCAGCTAGCAGAAGATATTCCCATAGGCATACCATCCGCAGATCCGGGTTATTCATGGGGAAATTGGAGAACTTGTGGAGAATCGTGAAAAGCCTGGAAGCTTGGCAAGCTTGACGATACTACATATTCACACCATCTCACCTTCTGGCTGGAGAAGGCAGGGGATGCTATTGTCGGACCGTAGACCCTCTGCGGTAACGCCAGACACGATGTACGACAGCTACGAAATGTAGCCTAATCGTACCCTCGGTCAACGATGAATAATTTTAGCTATAAAGACTGTTACTAGAGGAGCCTATCTAGTTGGATGAAGTCACAACCAGTTACGCTAAACCTGGAGTGCATGTTCGTGCGTAATTTCAATCCTCATGAATGGTTGAAGTGACGGTGTGGCTGCCACATGCTTGATATTGGCCATAGAAAATTGGGATACGTATGTATACTCCCCAATACAACTATACAATTGAAATTCCTCTGGATCAGATCTAAATGGATGTAACTTTCAGGTACGGAAATATTATGAAACGCCAGCTATCTTTCTCCCGGATTTCGCACATAATCTCCCTATTATCCCCCCTAAGTACGACTCTACCTCTATTAGCAGAACACGCTGGTCGATCTTTGGCCGTTGCACGTAGCGCTGTCCCATAACTTAGACGCTCTATGCATGACAAGGGTAAGTAGGTTAGGTTAGGTACCTAACCTAGGTAGTTCTTGAGAGGTAGAATGATACCCGTCTTCTACCTTGTGTAGCTCATAAATTAGGGCATATAAGTCAAGACCCTGCTAGGCTAGGAATTGAGCATGAAGGTGTGTAATGCAAGGGTTTCTAGAGTTCTACATCGGTCTACAATGATTGGATTCTGGTTACGGAACTTTTGATAGGCTCATTAGCTATTTTTCTTTGATTGGATATGGTTATTCTCGGTCAAACAGACCACCAAGCCATGAAGGGATATCGCGCAACATATTAAAAGACTCAGGTCAGGTGGTGATCCCTCTTATAGAGTGCACGACAGCGCACAAGTGTCTTCAATATATATATAATGTCGTGTTACTCATCTCTAAAGAGGTCGAGAATCTTCGGGCATAGGCACTAAGCCCTTGTGGTGTCCCCTGGGAGACGAAAGAGGAGCGATGGGCAGATTGAGGCGCAACGGCCTACCCCAGATGTTCATAATGCAACTCCACGGAATATAAATCGACGGCGAAATTTAATTTATAGACCAATGAGGCCGAGCCTTCTTGCCATTCTGATTGGTCTCTGGGTATTTCCGCATTGTCAGCGAATTTCTCGGCTACCTAACCTATCTTATTTAAGTCGTCGGCCACACTAACATGGTATTGCGTGAACGATGCATAAGCTTGATTAGGTCCAACACGCATAATCTATCCTGTACGTCAAAACTCATAGGCTCGATTTGGACAGCGAGGCACGTGGACGTGTCCGAATTCTGCCCTCATGAGTTAATATCTGTATATGTTAATCGTGTCCGATATGACTGACTCCTGGCCACTCACGAGCGCAGTTTTTGACCCCGACAGTAAAACCCATCATGAGTATTGAAACTTCATAGAGGAGTTCACACCAAAGTACGGAGCACCCTGATAGACATCGTAGCTAAGAGCCGAGTCTAACCCCTACAGTCACCATTGACAATCCCGTGGCCCGTTGCTCATTCGTATAAGCTTCAAGCATCTTCACTCTACTATTATGGTATACCTATTAGCACTGATGCCTCTGCAAGCGTAGGATGGGTTTCACTTTAATAATATGAACATATAAATAGTGATTACTGTCCGAACCCGGGCGAGACCGCGTTAACGACGAAGACATATCGTGGAATTTTGCACCGGCTTAGGCGTCGACTAGTCTTCTTGAACCTATGGGGCATTCCCAAGAAGGATCCAAGTACGGGCAGGTGGAGACAGGAATAGACAAGATTAATATCTCGTAGCCTCTAAGATGTCAGAGTCTTGCCATGACATTCTGCGCCAAGAGGTCGAGCAAGGAGAGTTATCTCGCTTTCACTCGGTTTTGCCTCACTACTTGCATCACTAGATATCTAAGTCTATCTGAAAATGTCGACTAAGTGCTTAAGCGAGTGGCGTTTCAATATAAACATCAATGTCAGGTGTTGCTTTCAAGTTCACTGCACTCCACACTCCTGCTGTACAACGATGAAAAGAGTTGCAGGTATCCAGCCGGCATGAGTGTGGGGTAAATTCGACGAGCTTGGCAGCAGCACCATGCCAGGAACTGAACCTGAATAGGATGTAGAAAAAAGCTTGCAGAGGAAGAAACATTGCCATGGGCGATCCGGAGAGAATCGTGCAGGGACCCGGGACTTGAACAAACTTTTCATAGGGCTTCTAAAAGTCTATTGGCGGGACCCTGAGAGACATCTCGAAGATGCTCGGACAACTTGTCATCGATTGTATTACATCTCACCTCATTTCCACATCTGGGTCGGGCTAGCCCGGATTTGAAGCAAAGATCTCGATAGGTGATCATTCGTGAATGGGACGATGTGCTTAACCTTTCCAACCCTGATGTGTCATGATCATAGGCCGATTAGGGTCATAGTAACTTAGTAACTTAACAAGCCGAGTTGAGGGGATCGTGAACAATGGGCCAACCTCACGATGGGTGTTTCTCTTGAGCGGGACTGCGATGTACATACCTACATGCTCCAAGACGTCGCCAAGACATGAAGAATCGTAACAGCGTACCGCTCTCCCGAGACTAACTACCTTACGTTAGCAAAGTGTGTGCTCGAGGGAGCGAGCCAATCTTATTGCTGGCTCTTTAGTTCTCCGCCCCGGCATCGCGGAAATTCCTGTATCGGCTTTTCCGCCCCTGATCTCATCTCTTTTTAGGGCGTTAAGAGGCGACGATCTGAATGTGTAAGTTATTGTTAACGTATAACTAACTAGGTTATGTGTACTGCGATAACGCGAAGCCGCCAGAGATGCAAGAAAAAATATCTCCCGGTTGACAAGTCGCTTACTTATCTTTCCAAGACCTGGGGATATTCGGTCGAGGGCGGTTCGTAGTTAGCGATTGTACGTGTAGTGTAGCTCTATACGTATTATTGCTATTCATGGTACGAATTATGGGGTTCTTTATGAAGTGCACGCATATACGCGTATACGTGCCTGGCATTGAGACACTAAGTCGGCGCTTGCTACGTTCTGTATATTAAGTCGAGGTCATGAGTGGTCTGCAGCGGCTTCTCCTTGACTATAGTCCCGGGCCGTGTATGTAAGTTCTAAGACTTACACCCATCGTTCAGTACGAGCAAGCTGAGCGTGTACCTGTACGCATGTCATTTGCACGGGTCGTTTGCCGGTCAAGCCTTTTTACAATGTAGCTAAAAAGGCCGACGACCCCTGCCACGCATCTCCCCTGCCCTAAAGGCTTGGGGAGGGTATAAAGTACCATAGTATCGATGGCTAGGAAGTACTAGCAGATCTTGCAGGCCTGCCCATAATCTCACGTTGTAACCCTGTTACGGGTACATACGAGTTCTAGCCGTTGATCCTGTTTGGAATTCTTTGAGAGAATGACAGTGATCGCGGGGCCGCCCCTCGACTACGGTTCCCCGTGGCTACCTAGTAGCCTAGTAGCAGGGATTCAGGGATACATATAGTGTATGTTCATGAGGGATTGAGGTCGTCTCCAGCCAGTGAAAATCGAACCTGGCTTTCCCCGAATCTAATCTAGTCGCTGCGAAAGGTGCTGGGTTCGGAATTTTCATACGCCAGGAACTCCCAAAGACACGCCAAAATGTCAACTTTCTAAGTAGCGCTAAGAAAAAAAACCCTTCCAAAATGTTATTGAAGTTTCCCATCATGCATGAAACTATTACCCCAGTCCCACTCCTTAGAACGGGAGGTTATTCCACGCCCCTTACCCTTAGACGCTGTCTGATGCGGTCTGATGCGGTCTGATGCCCTGCACGTCAGTCACTGCTCACATGGCTTTCGGATTATATCTCAACTTGCCGAACGGCATCCACAGCCTGGTCCCGGTTTGGACAGCCAGCTGCCCAAGGGCTGAAACATTGACATTGCTCCCTTATCCTATGCCCTACTGGTTCAAGCGCCCTTCACCTCGAGTCGCTACCACTGGCAAAGTGCATGAAGGCCTTTGATGAGTGTTATATGACACTCACTTGGCTGACTCGGATAGATCATGCTACATACTATGTATGCTATATACTAGACCTTGACATGGCAAAGTACCATACGTCTACCCCTTGTATATCCTAGATCTAGTATAGATACGCCAGATTATATGCCAATCAGCTGTTGAGTGCTGTCGTCCCTTGTGGCAAACGTGTTGATCATTACTGGGCACTACAGCATTGATCTCCAGATGCGCGTTTCCCTACCCGTCCAAATCTCGACGTTCTCTGGTACGAAAGGCACGTCCCTTGCCATACCTTGCCATACCTTTCTATACCTTGCTATACCTTGCTATATGTACCTTGCCATACTTTTAAACTCCAGTCTGTAAGTCTGGCCTGCTCGACCTGTCACATCTTATAGGATGTATGTATGGAGGGTGTGGAGGTATACCTGATGCGCTATAGCCTCTCGGTTCCTGATCAGACTAACCTAGCAACTTAGAGTCTTGGACAAGGTTGCGTTACTCCACACAATCTATTTACCAGCCCTTCATCTCCAGATTCTCCACGCCTCCCCGCCAAAATAGGTTACAAGACAATATCCTATATAAATCTTCATCGACTCCCGTGTTGTCGGTCCTGGGTCCAAGACGGCTCCCCACATCCCCCGGATTGCTTATAGTGATTTTGGGTCATTATACATCACTTCACTCAACCTTAGTTTCACATCATCACTTCATACTTCATCTGCTAGACTCCAGCAGGAGTACTTGAGCCAAGATGGCACCGAGTATACCGATTCCCACTCAAGGTGGAATGTTTCACACCTGTAAGTCTTCCTCACTTTGCTCTCTTGAATTTGACATATTTATAAGTTTCTAACTTGATGCTAGTCCAAGGAGTGACTCCTCGGAAGCAGTCCACAGACTCTACAGAGAGTACAAAGACAAACGGCAACGGCACAGCTAAGCGTATTACTACACCACATGCATGCGCTGAATGCAAGCGTAGGAAGATGTACGCCTCGTGTAACATGACAGAATAAACGAACAAGTTGCTAACACTTAAGTCCAGTCGATGTGATGGCCAACAACCATGTGGTCAATGTCTCTCAAGTCGAGCTCCTAAGCGATGTTTTTATGACAAGCACCGCCAAAGAGTGATCCCATCAAGGAAGACTCTTGAAGCATTATCACAATCTTTAGAGGAATGTCGGTCAATTATCAAGCGGCTTTTCCCAAACCACGAAGTTCAGTCACTTTTACCCTTACCTCGCCAGGAGCTGCTTAGTCTCCTTGACCGACCACAGATCGACGCAGCCGCGGGACTTCCATCACCACCGCTACATACTTCTCCTATGCCTGGCGACATTGGCTCGCCTTCTCTCTCCGGGTCTGACCAGGGTCTTTCCAGCTTAGAACAAATACCATCTCGAGATATCGAATGGGACGAGGAACGCCGAGGACGAGACCCTATACCCGTCGAAGCTGACGATGTCAATGCGCTTTCTCTATCGGTCGACCGCCAAGCATCATATCTGGGCGCCTCATCTATCAAGGCAGCACTCATGGTGATGCTAAAAGTCCAGCCGGGCCTCCGAAGCTCCCTCACACCACCGCTCAACAGCGTAGAGATGGCACACAATCTTCCGATTATGAGGCAAAAAGTCACGAATCCTAAAGAGCCTCAACGAGTGCCATGGTCATGGAAAGGCCAAACATTAATCGACGCTTACTTTAAGCGAGTACACGTATTTGTTCCGATGCTAGATGAGGCTTCGTTCAGAGCAGACTACCTTGAAGGACAACGATACGACGCCCCCTGGCTCGCACTTCTTAACATGGTTTTCGCCATGGGATGCATTGCCGCTCTCAAATCCGACGACTACAACCACCTGAACTACTACAGCCGGGCCATGGAATACCTTCCCATGGACTCTTTCGGCGGCAGCCACATCGAGACTGTCCAAGCCCTAGCATTAATAGGAGGATACTATCTACACTACATTAACCGACCCAACATGGCAAACGCCGTCGTTGGTGCTGCTATCAGGATGGCGAGTGCTCTCGGACTCCACCGAGAAAGCCTGGCTCACGGCCCTGCCGGTACGAGCAAGGAAATTGCAGCCGCAGAAACGAGAAGACGTACTTGGTGGAGTTTGTTCTGCCTCGATACTTGGGCTACAACTACCATGGGCCGCCCGTCGTTCGGCCGATGGGGCCCTGCCATCAACATCCGCCCACCAGAGACTGGCGTTACCTCTGCACGAGACTCGGCCCAGCACGCAGGTATCCTACCTCTCATTGAGAACATCAAGTTCTGTAAAATTGCCACTGCCATCCAGGACATGCTGGCAATTTCCCCCCTACTACGTGCCGAGGACCGCTGCAACCTCGATGGCCAACTGGTCAACTGGTTCAGTAACCTACCTTGGCTACTACGCACCAGTGACCCCTGCGCCGAACCCCTGTACATCGCCCGCTGCATCATGAAGTGGCGCTACCAGAACCTGCGTATGCTACTGCACCGCCCAGTCCTTCTGAATTTAGCCAGCAGTGGCGCATCACACGCTGCCGAGCATGACATCGCCGCCATCGAGGCATGCCGCGACTTAGCTAAGCAGACCATCGAGGATATCTCCCGCGAGTGGTCGCGCAACCAGATGTCCGGCTGGAACGCTGTCTGGTTCTTGTACCAGGCCGCTATGATCCCGCTCGTCTCTATCTTCTGGCAGTGGGACAGCCCCCGCGTGCCCGACTGGCAGAAGCAGATCGAGACAATTCTGGAACTTCTTGAGGCCATGGAAGACTGGTCGCTGGCAGCTCGCCGCTCCCGCGAGGTCGTCTGGCGCATGTACGAGGCATCGCGGCAATTGGAGCCCGCTATTTTGAGGCAGCAAAGTCCCATGCAGAGGCTACAAGTTGTAACTGACCATGCCGCCATCATGAACCCCATGGGTGACGGCTCGGAAATACACATGTCGCCTATCGGCCTCGAACCCGAGGGCTTCGGTGGCATGATGGGCATGCTGGACCAGCACGGCCTGTGGGACCTGGACGGCATGCTCTGGAGCGCGCCCGACGAGATGGAGTGGGCACAGCAACACATCGCCGGCAACGGCAACATGCACGACGGGACACCGGCGGGTGGCTGCGGGATGATGGGCCAGCTCGGCGCCTACGGCATCGATAATCCAGCATTTTCATTCGTCCACTAATTACCCCCTTGGATTACCCCTTTGGGTGACTGGTCAATCATGTTGCGTGTACGAGAGACAAGAGACACATGGCCACGCGGCTATTATTACTACTGCTACTATTACGACGATCGGTTGGGGTTGATTTTCTGCACTTCTGGTTGGCTATTCGGGAGCAAAGAGACAAAAAAAACTTTTTCTCTACTCAATTTTTCTTTCCTTTCTATACTTTGTCAACTTTTAGGGGTCCATGATCGCCATTCACCTCATGCATGTATGTTTCAGCGATGATACCTCTTGACGTTGGATGCGTTCATGGTTGGGTTACAACGAATTCAAAAGGTTAAAAAGGGGGGGAAGGGAAGGGCACCGGGCCGGCGGGCAACGTGGTTTTCGAGCAACCCCAAGCTAAACCAGCCCGTTTGAATGTTTTGACGGGAGTCTGGGGATAACTGCTACTGCTATTGCTACTGCTACTGTTGCTACTAGTACTGTTACGACTACTGCGTAATGGAGGGGGGGGGGAGTTAAGAAGACAAGAAAGCTTTTAAATGAGGGATGACCTATCACGATCTGGAAGAAAACTTGTACGAGACTCGAATACAGACTTACATACAATACCTACATGCATAATACTATTATTAGGAGAACACCAACCAACTACGCGTAGCTTGAAGTGATTGAAAAGGTATAAAGTGCTATACGTTAGCGTCTTCTGGGGAAATAGAAGAATGGAAGATCCTAAACGGGATTGACATACATCGTCACACACATACATAGTAGGGTTGGCATCTTGACGAAGGCCTCAAAGGAACTGAGATCCGAAGAGAGTGGATCCTGTCGACGGAAAGCCGGTAGGTAAAATCAGGAATCTGGGGTAGACGTCGTGAACGCTTACTTACCTAGGTACCTAAACCTTATCTGTGCGTGTGCCTTGAGATTGCATACCTACTTGGCACATCGTAGCATGTGGTAGTTCGCCAAGATGATGGGCTACACGAAGTAAGCATAGCAAAGTAGAGGCTAGAGAAGACTACCTCGACGTAATAGTTCTGTTGACCTGGCCCCTGAGTATCTACCTGATAACTATGTACATCTATTAGAGTCTTAGCTGTATACTAAAGTCTGATATAAAGGGAAATTTGACTATCTTTTATCGTTATAATTTTAATCATGCCATAAAGATGTTGTGTGATGAACGCCTTAGAAGAAATGGAGTACATAATCTAGAGTTGGGAGACCGGTGCCCTGTAACGTCAGTATGATTGATGGGTAAGGGGGACTTTCTGTTGGTGTTCGCAGCATCTGCATATAATAGCCGTCGTGATGCCTTGATAATTTCCTATTCCTGATAATGACGGCACTGGTTATAGCAACAATCAACAGGTAGGTACCCAATCTATGCACTTCCCAGAATAGCTTCATGTTAGCCCCCAACTCTCCTCAATACCATTCGCTGAATTGCTATTGTGAGACACAATGTCTTGCATGCGCAAGGGTAGTCCTAAAGAATGTTAATAAGCAGTGTAAGATACACGATTGGTCGGTCGGCTTGTTGGCCGTTGGATAACAGGACTGGGGAAATTTATGCCATCGTGATTGGGCGCCATCTGGGCAAGGGTTGTGAACCCCGGCACAATATGGACTTTCGGGCCGCCGTAGACGAGCTGGTAATGAGCTTTGTTACAAGGCTACCAGTGAGGTACTTGGCACCAAGCCTCTCCCGCCCGGTAACGCTTCCCGAAGTACTGTGAGTTACGATGTTACCCAAGTACCGCTATGTGGCTGTCAGGGGTCCCTTGTCTCTCCCCAGCCATTCCCCATCTGGGGTTTAAGTGTTGAGTGGCACAGCGGAAATTCCCATGCGGGGGAGAGGAGAAGGAGAACTTTTCTTCTTCTATGGAATTTCCGAGGTCAGCGCGATTAGAGAGGGGATTCGAACTGAAAAATAATTGCCAGATTGAAAATAACGGAACCCCATCTCGCTAGAGTTTTCTTTCCTAGGTTCTCTGGGTCAGAAGACTGCTCGTTTGTCAAGGCAAAACAACTTGGCAGCAGTGCCGATGTATGTTAGGTAAGTAGATCTACGATAACCCCTCTCCGAGGACACTCCCGTTTTGTTGGAGAACATCACGATAGGTGATGGAGGGTTGGTAAGATAGAAGATCACTAGGAGATGAGAGATGCGGGGTAAGGGTCTAGGTTAGGAGATCGTCAACGAGGATGTCAATCTATGACTTGATCATTCCCTTCTGTTCATCATCTCCCTCTTTTTCAACCTCCTTTATCAATCTGCTCCTAGTCGAAGACGTTATCATACGTTAAGGTAGTTGCGTCTACTCTATTCCTCCCTCCATCAGGATTCATCGTTCCATAGTTCCTGTCATCGAGCATCTACCGATTGCTGTGTCGCGCGAGATTGCAGCGGCAGTCGAGACGATGCGCCAAGTTTAGAGACCGGTGGGTAGGGTTGAGAGGCCACAAACGTCCGTCCGATGAGAGCTTTCGCTGAAGTGCAACTGGGCTTCCAACGGTGCGTCACCATGGCAGGGACCTGCGCTAGATTGAGATTCGAGCTTGTCATATTTCAACTTCTAAGCCTACCTCCTAGGTAATCTAGTCCGCTCACGATCGATTCGCCACCGCCACGGCATATTTCCCTAAATTACATACGTCTGCATTCTACAACGTGACCTGTCTTCAATCTTATGATGACCTCGGGTCTCGATGGGCCTTGGCATATACCCGGAGCTTAAAAAGGACTTATAGGACACCATGAGAGGACTTCATTGCCATCGCGGTGGCACGAATGAAAGGGCACTTTGGAACCTCATGCGATTGTCAACAGGGGTTATGGCAAGTTGGTGTCGTTAAGAACCAATCGCCACTACACATTCGAACCGTGTTTCGTATGACTTCAGGACTGTTAGATGGTGGTAATGGTGTCTAGTAGCAATTCTTTATCGCATAATGATATAGGCCCCTCGTCTGGTGTAGTAATGTCCTCAACTAGGCCTTCTTCTTGTCCACCTTGTCTCTTTCGGGAAGCGCATAGTCCAGAAAGAGACAAGTGAAATAGATTATGTTGGGGTCTAGTTTAGCTTGACTACCGCAACTGTGCCTCGCCCTCGCAGTAAATATGCCGCTGCCTGCCTACCTACCCTACGTACATACCTAAGCTGCTAGTATAGCCTACACCGTCTCGTGATGCAATTGAGTACGTGGTGTATTTCGAGGGGCTTTGGACTCGGTACCCTTGCAATGCGTATAGGAGGTCTAACTATGTGAATGTAAGTGCGGATATATCATAATAATCGTCATAACTAACCTTAACGACTAACAGTTAAGCATCCTTCGCTGCCTCGCCGAGGATTTGAGGAATCAACCAAGTGGACCGGTGATAGCAGTGGTTGGATGAGTTTCAGGGTTTTGAAGTTGGGTCGCCAAGAACCAGGCCCAAAGTCGAGCCACTCGAGCCGTGTTTTACTGCAACGTCGAGTTACAGCGTCGAGGATAAAAGCGGAACCTTTATTTCTCTTACTTGTACAAGCTTTCTTGATATCTAAACAAGTCTGGGGCCCCTGCTTGCACGCTGCGATGAATGTCACAGCTGAATAGCCTCCTACCTCGAAAAATCTCCTTTGCCCTTGTCATGGTAGCATTCCAGACCGTCTTCTATGTACATACGAGTACGAACACGTCGTTCCCAACTGCTTTTGTCTGTGCGCAACTTGTGATTCATGGGTCTAGTGTAGGCTGGATCTTAACCTGGAGATTTATTTGGAGTTAAGAAACCGGGGTTAAGAGTTCTCTAACATTGAAGCTTTTGATTCTTGCGGTCTGCCTGGATCTTCGGAAAACTGTCCCCTTCGTTGGGACTACGATCCACGCCGGCGTCCCCTCACGTACTTCATGATCATGTGTCTTTCGGTCTATGGAGTAACATGACGATAACACGGATGACGATCATGATCTCACAAAATCTCGAATTGATACGGTCAGCTTCCACCTGACGTTAATAATTTCGGTAAAGAGTTTTGTAAATTTCTCCGGTGCGCGTCTGAGCGAAACCGTTCCATCATGCTAATTTCTTCCGCCAACGGCCTCAGACAACGAAGAGTCGTCTTGAAGCAAGCACTTCTGACTGCATGCCAAGAATCCTAGTTGTGTAGCATACGATCTATTCAGTGGTCGTTTTCTGTGTTACCACGGCTTGCCCCTGGAGGTGTTGATATGTAGTAACCTAGAGCTGGACAACTTGTAAGTCTTCTCCAAATGTCTTGGCAGGATCCTTATAGGTATATAAAGAATGGCAAGTTAACTCAGTCAGCTCAGCGTTGTATCTCTCGGACTCTATCGGCATTCGCGCATCCACTGCCGCCGGCTGGTAGGCTAGACTGCCACATCGCCTACTGCAAGTCCGGCGTACCTGCGTTGCCGATCCCCGACCGTCTGACCTTAGCGGTGCCGCCTATAGGAAGGAATACTTGGGGAGCATCGCTGGTCTCCTCACACCAGCCATGCATTGCGCCACTTGTAATAGGACACGAGCTGCATAGGTGTTGGCCCGTTAGTGCGGTTCCTTCCCCAGGGACGGCCGCGTTGCCCGCTTTGGGAAACCTGCCCCGGGCGGGATATCGGGATCGTGAGTTCTTTGCCGTGCTGGCTGATTGGACTGAGCTCGCTAGGTACCGGCGGCGATCAGGTCCCACGTTTCCGCCGGCTTTCTCAAATTAAGAAGGCAACGTTACCGGCTCGCGAGACCCGGTGATTTGGTCCTAGACTATTCTAGGTTTCAGGGGGCTTCCTTCTGCATATCGCCATCTGCGCGGAATAGATTATTATCAGATGTACCCGCGTGTTTAGCGTTTAACTAATTTAAGTACACGTGGTTTTTGTTTGTGCGATGACGGGGGTGGGTTGAGGAGTCAGTGTTACCTGGAAACTTGAGTTGCGTCTTCAGGATGCAGCGTGCCCTTATGGCATCCAAAGTCAGGACCAAACAACAGTATATCGAGTTATCTACACTGCCCCAAAATTTTATCATTGATAAAAACCACTCTCTTTGGGGAGTGTTTACCTAATCAAAGTATAGAGTTAAGACTTGACTAGGTTACCAGGTTAGTAAAGAGTTGCAATATGTCTTTGTAAACCCACATGCTAGGTATCCAAGGTCATAGTAAATAACCAATGTAAAAATTTCTAATGATGATATGTACTGATTCACCATTTGTTTCACTTATTTAATTTACGTTGTTGTGACTACTACTTCTTGTCGTTGATC